TAATTTTATTACTTATGTTTATTAAATATAATTTGAATATCTTAGGTATGTCAGGAAGACATTTGATGTCTAATTCAACATGAAAAGACACCGGTCAAATATTTTTCGTAAACAATGCAATTATCGTTGAGTGATAATTGCACACTGTGTAATTACCGCTGTAATTTCTCGATAATTGCACACTTCAAATGGACAGATTATCATACAAGGGAAATATTCATTTTAATCTATACGAGTTTTCTATATTTAACGAATTGTTGCACTACACGAAATCAAAATAATGCTTTAAAAACTCTTTCATGTCTTGATGTCTTGTCTATTTCATTGTCTTGTCTATTGCGCGATTTTAACAGTTTGGCCTTTAGTATGTCTTCATTTTCTATAATCATGTTTTCAAATGTTTCTTTTTTAACTAACGACTGTTTTTCCTAATTGTCTCGATCAATTGCGCTTGCACCGATCTTGCGCTTTAACTGATGTGTCGTTAGTTTGTGAACAAGCCAAAGAATATTTCTTGAAACTTCAGCATTCTGTAGCTTACCTATTTGTAGTTCAGAGCTTTTTCAAATTACTTTTATATTTGTTCAATATTTCTTGCTTAAATTCTGATTTAAAACGTCGCTCAAGGTTTGTCATTCGCTGAGTTTCTCATTCGCATGATCTATTGAAATACTGGAAAACAGGAAAATTATCATCGCTAGAAGCACCATCACTATTTCCACATTTGTCCTCTTACTGGGGATCTGTTGTAAGTAAATCTCGAAAAATATTGACTTGGACGCAAACTCCTAATTCAAAACGCTTCTTTGGTCTCCTTCAGAAGAACACGCTCTTATTTAAGAATGTTATCAGTATGTTTCTGGAGTAACTGATTTCTGATGATTTCAATTGATTATTGGTCGTCTTTGATACCTCAGTCTAATACCAACTGGTCGAGAAAAACTTTTCCTCATTTGCCTACATTTGCAACTGGCTCATCACGTCTGCATATTAACGACAGACAAAGTAGCAAACGTGAGAATCAATTTGTATTGTTAATGAATCCGCCTACGAAGCTTTCTGGCAGCGTGTGTTGAAAGCTGTGTGTTCCATGCCGTATTCTTGTGTGGCGGCACGAGACACGACCACAAAGCCCAACAGACGGAAGGAAGCATTGACATTTAAATAAGCATAATATTATTTGTTGCTTTGAAAAGTACAGTTCAGCTTGGCATACAAATTGGCTCGTCTAGATATCGATAACCTGATGGAAATTCATTTTATTGTTAGTGAAATGAGCTCTCAACAATACTAAGAATAACCAGTAACATTGTCGTTTATACGGTTTATTATTAATGCAGCTACTTACTGCAAAATTTACTAGTACAATATGATCTGTTTGTGCACTAATATCGGCAAAAAGAATTTGTGTGGCCTGCGAGAAGTGCAGATTTAAATCCTGTGGACTTTTCAATATAGTCACCAATGAAGGGCGGGGTTTTTCAATACAACTTTTTACATTCGTTTTACTACTTACTAACAGCTACTTATTAATCAGAAAGTAATAAATTTTATTACTGCGCGTTTATCGCACCATGATTGTAAACTGGCTTCTGTTCTATACTGCTTTTAAACAATACTAGAAAAAAGGTACATTAATCTGATAAATATTTGAAATCCAAGTGTACTTGCTCTGCTTATGCATCATTGCCGACAACATTTTCTTAAAAATCATAAAAAGCTTTACATTTTCGGCCACTTTTAGACACATTTAAAGAATAGTTTAATAGATATGTTAGTATGCTTAATTTTACGAGAAATCTGGCCAAATCGGCTCGAATCTTTAACTGTGTACATTTTCAACAAACAAACGTGTATGTCTTAAATATCCCAAGAAAGCTAAA